AAAAAAAAAAAAAAACCCAAGAACTTGGTAAGCTTCTTCTACAAAAAAAATCAGGGTCTGAATCTCTGCTGCCTCTTCTGTCTTTGGACTCAACATCCCACAAGAGAAAGATCTGCCTAAACAGCTAACAATCTATACCTAAGAAAATCTCTTGATTTTTGGTGAGTTTTGTTCATTAATAACTGTAAGATCCACCCAAGCAAGCGGAATTCTTTTATAGCCTGGCAGACAAATTAACTCATTTTATTCAGGAAACAGAAAATTTCTTTAGTTTGTGCATTAACTCATACATTTTATTAAATGAACTGAACTTCCCTGTATATCTTTGTGCTGACAAGATCTACATGGTGCTAATGATACCATGAAAACAAATCCTTGCTTTTTTTCCTCAGACTATGAGAGACTTACAGGCCTGTATTCATCTGATCTGAAGCAATAAGTCAAGAGAAGCCTTTTTCCCTTGTGCTGTTAACCAGTGCAATTACCATTCCCGTTGCAACATCTGCCTTTCCAGATACCAAGATGGAACAACAAAAAAAACATCCTGCTACATAATGTAATTTTGGCATTCAGAAAACAAAACTCACAGATAACTTTCTCTGCCTTTTTATATTCCCACTCTTTTTTAGCACAGACTGCACCTCATAATGGAAATAAGCTCGTCTCTTTCAAACCGCTTTAGGCGCTACATGAATTTACTTACTGTTCTCCTTTGTACCGAATCATTGTTGATACCACTACCAACACGAACAGATGCACACTATAATCACTCGGTTTGCATTCCTGTTGCGTCTTCTGCCACTAATTACACGCACGTTACTGAATTGCTGGCCTCACTACTCCATGCCCCTGGTTCTAGCTTTAAAGGCACAATATTCAGCCAGCAGCTCTGCCTGCAGCAGAACGACAAACATCTCAACGCTGAGACCATAAGCCCTTGTGATAACGCTAGGTGAGAAGTACAAATTAGCAAGAACCCACAAGGAATAATGTATATTAAGTTACAGCAAAAAGCAAACACGTGCTTACCTTCCTGCAGGTACCTACAGAAACCCATGAGGCTCGTCATACATGTTGGCGGGTCCATCCCATTCGCCCTCAAACCAAGAGACCAACATTTCTCTACCTCGGTGGGAAAACACCAAGCCCCAGCACAGCCCCGGTCTTCAGCTACACACCCCTAAAACAAGCCTATCGATGCCAATAGCTGCAAAAGCGCCACGCTCTGCTATTCCACAGGCATAAAGCTGAAAAAACAAGTGGTTTTTTTGTTTGTTTGTTTGCCTTCCTCAGACATTACGCACGGCACAGCCCAGCACGCTCTCATGTACAACACAGCCTCTGCCAAGCGCAGCGCGAGCTCCGGATCCATCCAACACTTGAATCCCACCCCGCCAGGCACCAGCGGGATTTCAGCGCTCCACGCTGCCGGCCAGCGAGGCAGAGGCGGCCGGGGCTGCCGCACGAGAGCGGCGGTCGGAGCGGAGCCTCCTGCCTGCGGCGGCTCCCGCACCGCCGCCCGGCCCGGCCCGG